ATGTACAAAAATTAATGCTTTTTAAAATTTTGACTTATTTGTTAAAAACTTTGTGTGGTAGCGCTGCGTCTCCATCTGTAATTTTCAAACAAACATTAGCCCTCCATAGTTCTCTCTTGCAACTTGACTGGAAGCTGTCGGACTAATTTAAACAAAACTAACTGGGGGACTTACATGTTGACTTGTTGGGAATAGATAACATTAACATGAGTTAATTCAGAACATGAAGGAACATAGAATTGATTCATGGCATGTTTTCTAAATGAAGTATTAATATATTTGGGGTTGGGGGAAGGTATCAAATATTTTCAAGTCAAAACGCTCAACTCCAAGAAAAGTCACGAGTCACTGGTGTTAAAATCCAAATCTAGTTGCAAGTCTTTTTTGATTTGTCTAAAGTCAAATTTGTGACTCAAACTTGAGTCCAAGTCAGTCAGTAGAAGTATTCATTCATTCATTCATTTTCCGTAACCACTTAGCCTGGTGAGGGTCACGGGGGGGCTGGAGCCTATCCCAGCTGACATTGAATCACTAGACTATCACAAGGCTGACACATAGAGACAGACAACCATTCATGCTCACAGTCACACCTACAGCAATTTAGAGACACTAATTAACCTGATGTGCAGGTCTTTGGACTGTGGGAGGAAGCCAGAGTACAAGAAGAAAACCCACGCTGACACAGGGAGAACATGCAAACTCCGCACAGAAGGGCTCCCCCTCCCCAGGGTTCAAAACCCCACCCCAATGTCTCTTGCTAACCACTGCACCACCATGCCTTCGTGCATTATGATACTGTCAATGATATACTACAGGGATATTACAAACATAGTGGGCATCAAAGAAACAACAGACACAGTATGTTTAATGTTATTCACCATCTTCAGTACCATCTGGTGTCACCATCATCATTAGCACTGGTTGGATTTAAATACTGTAATAATATTTAAAACTGATAGAAATAGGGGAATGAAATTAGTTTTAAATGAATCGCAGAAAATGCAAAGAAAGCAACGGAGTAAATAACATTCATCATGAGAAAGATGTAGAACCTTTACACCAGTAAATGTCCTGATATGGTACTGTAAAAACGCTCCATTATTGTCATGTCCAAGAAGTTAAGTTAGATATTTTTAGTTCTGTCTTGTGTCTATGTTGTCTCGTGGCTTCCTGTTTTATTTTGACATCCAACTCTCCTCTCGTTTCAGGTAACTTGCCCCTTCCTCTCGTGTGTTCCCACCGGTCTGATTGTCTGCCCTGCCCTGATTGTTTCCACCTGTTTCCCATTACCTTGTGTGTGTGGGTACATATAGTCTGTGTTTCCCTTTGTCCTGTGCCAGTTCGTCTTGTCTCGTCAAGTCTGAGGTCCTCCATGTCCCTTTAATGATTTATCAGGTTATGTATTCTTTTGATACTTTGCTCAGCTTTTGCCATTGTCTAGTTTTATGTTAATTTGATACTTTATCTAGCCTTTTCCTCGATCCTTGTTGTTTTCCTCGCAAGAGTGATTTTTTGTTGTTCTGATTTGGTTTTAGATTTTCCTCTGTATGAGCGATTTTCCTTTATTACTTTGAAATTAAAGATTGTTTATTTGCACTTTAATCCATCTCTGAGTTGTGCATTTGGGTTCAGATTCAGGTTCAGTTGTGACAATTATAAGTTAATGTCCATCATTCAAAATCCTATTTGAGGTGAAGTATTATCTGCAAAATGTACTTTTAATATCAAAAGTAAAAGTACTCATTGTGCACAAGAATGGCCCCAATAACTGGTTTGTTATTATATATTGTTGATGTTGGATCAATACATAAGCTGCCAGGGGTGGAGCTAGTTACTTTCATGAATTTTGGTAGGGCTCCTTCCACTGGGTCTCAAGATAAATATGAGGGGTCGTGAGATGATGGAAGACAACACAGAATTGTATTAATTTCTTTGGACTCCTAAATGTAACATGAGACCCAAACCAGACATTTTTCTTAAAGGAGTTTTTGAAATGTAAATCTTTATCTGAAACTCAAACCGTCATTTAACTGCAGTGAATTAAAAAGTACAATATTTCCCCCATGGAAAGGAAATATTCAGGTAAGTACCTCAAAACTGTTTTTGGTCAAGCTTAGAATGACGATAGAGGGTCATCAGTTGATCCAGCTTGCCCCAGTCCTCAGGCTATAAAAGCTGGACCACCAGTTTCTCTCTCTCTGCAGAAGACATCCACCCTCCATCATTTATTTTTATCTTACACCATTCAACACCTCAACACATACCTCACACCTTCATGCATTGATTGCGTTCTTGATTTCCCTCTTCCATCGTTTGTTTTGGAGTTCAGTTTGAGTTAATTATCTTTGTTTCTCCCGTGTATCTCTGGCGTGGACTCCGCCCTTATCACGTTCCCTGAGCTACTTTGTGACAATATATGCAGATCAAAGGTATACAAAGGAGAAAAGTAAATATTACCAGTGATATTCTGTTAAACCAAACAGGCAACTGATCAGCTTTGCAGTTTGTAGCTCTTCTTGTCATCGTAATTTGCCTCAAGCAATGAAACACTTAGAAGCGTGACAAACCTGTTTTTGAGGAAAAACATATAGCCTACCCTATCAGCAGAGGAGTCCTTGGGCTTTGTTTTAAAAGTCTTTAAATATGCAAATACTCGACTGAGTTGGATTCAAATCATTATTTCAAATAATCTCAAATGCAAACAATGAGGTTATAACCCAACAGTGTATATTAATTACAGGAGGACCCATGCTAATATTAATATATGATGTATATGAAGTGTATGATATACACTATGACAATCAAGAGGTGGTTGCCCACCCCACAGCATGGTGCAGGGAGTAGTCTTGTACCTCAGAGATTTTGGTCCATATTGACATGATAGCATCACACAGTTGCTGCAGATTTGTTGGCTGCACATCCATGATGTGAATCTCCTGTTCCACCACATCCCAAAGGTGCTCTGTTGGATTGAGATCTGGTGACTGTGGAGGCCATTGAGCCATCAGAGAAGTAGCCATCAGAAGATGGGTACACTGTTGTCATAAAGGGATGGACACGGTCAGCAACAATACTCAGGTAGGCTGTGGTGTTTAAACCATGCTCATGGGTACTAAGGGGCCCAAAGTGTGCCAAGACAATATCCCCCACACCATTACACCACCACCAGCAGCCTGAACCGTTGATACAAGGCAGGATGGATCCATGCTTTCATGTTTACACCAAATTCTGACCCTACCATCTGAATGTGGCAGCAGAAATCCAGACTCATCAGACCAGGCAACGTTTTTCCAATCTTCTATTGTCCAGTTTTGGTGAGCCTGTGTGAACTGTAGCCTCAGTTTCCTGTTGTTAGCTGACAGGAGTGGCACCTGGTGTGGTCTTCTGCTGCTGTAGCCCATCTGCTTCAAGGTTGGACGTGTTGTTGGTTCAGAGATGGTCTTCTGCAGACCTTGGTTGTAACCAGTGGTTATTTGAGTTCCTGTTGTCTTTCTATCATCTTGAACCAGTCTGGCCATTCTCCTCTGACCTCTGGCATCAACAAGGCATTTTCTCCCGGAGAACTGCTGCTCACTGGATATTGTCTCTTTGTCGGACCATCCTCTGTAAACCCTAGAGATGGCTGTGTGTCCATGCCACGTTCAGAGTCACTTAAATCACCTTTCTTCCCCATTCTGATGCTCAGTTTGAACTTCAGCAGGTCGTCCATTTCTACATGCCTAAATGCACTGAGTTGCTGCCAAGTGATTGGCCAATTAGCTATTTGCGTTAACAAGCAGTTGAACAGGTGTACCTAATGAAGTGGCCGGTGAGTGTATATAGATCGTTTTACTGTACGGAGCAAATTAAAACAAAGCACCAGCGAAGACGTCCTACCACTGAAAGAAAAGCGTCATTGTTTGCACGAAAGCTACCTCTCTTATTTTTCCTATTTTTTATTGTTTTATGTCGTGATTAGAGTGATAACACACGTTATAAAAGCCCAATGATGGCAGCCGGAATCGCCAGCTGATTTGGCCCAATTCTGGGGCGTCATTCTGAGTCTCAGTCGTCAGGCACCTGGATGCGGCTGGCTAATTTCATTCAGGATGCCGACTTTGGGCCGATGCTGGGCCAGGTCATTTTTGATAACGGCCTAGTGATGGCAGTGTGTGCCGCCAGAATCGTGCCAGCTGATTTGGCCCAATTCTGGGGCTTCATTCATACTGAGTCTTTGCCGAGTTGGGCAACTGGATCCGGCCTGGCTAATTTCATCCGGCATGCCAAGTTCAGGCCAGTTCTGGGCCATATCCTTTTGGCAACCTGGGAGCTATTGAGCACAGACACAAATACAGATGTGCTTTGAGATTTTGACTTGGCCTGAGCACAAAAAGTTTGAAAACCACCGCCCTTTGACATCACAAATTTGAGTTTTGGCACTCTAGTTTTTGGATTTGGGAGACAGTTGTACATTTTTACTAATATTTTTAGACTGTCATATGAGCAAAATGTATGAATGATGAAAATGAGTGAAGTACCCCTTTAACATTATTGGTGTCGATCATCTCGTGTACTTCTTACCACGAGAGCGATCTTAAATGTATTTATGTAATTGCGGACACTTTCTTTGACTTGGGTGAGGTGAAACATAGAGTAGATGACAGGAAAACAGACATCTGCACCCCCGGGCACGCCCCTGGCTGTTGTTGACAGACTTTAACCGATGTGAAGCCCCGTTCAGCGGACACAAGCAGGAGGAAGAAAGAGCCACGAGTGAGACATCAACAAGTCAAATGTACATTTCAACTCTGCAGGTGACAAGAGCCAGCGCTTTCGTTAACCCCCGAGGGTTGTTCTCTGATAGAGTACGGCGGAGATAAAGACACGTGAGGAGGGGGAAAGGGGAGGAGGAAGAGAAGGCGGGGACAGGGGAGGAGGAGGAGGAGGAGGAGGGGATAGGGGAGGAGGAGGAGGAGGAAGGGCTAAGCAAGCGCGTGTGTGATCATTGCTTCTGTCAAAAATAGACCGGAGGACAGAGAGGGGTCGGTGGTGTAACAGTGGCACAGCCTCCCTGCTGTTTTATTTTATTTAATATTTTATCCCACTTTTATCCTCTAACCTCCACGAGTGTTTTTCATCACACAGTTTAATCTTAGGCCTACAGTTTATAATGAACCTCAGACTGAGCCAGTGAGCTCTGAATCCTGAGGCTGCTCTTCGGTTATTTGATTTTTTTTTTTTTTTTTTAATCTCACAGAGGATAATATAATTTGTTTAGCCGGAGACATTTACTGACAGGACCCAAACATGGAGGCGAAGGACGAGATGGAAATGCTGGACGCCGGCAAACATGAACAAAACGGAGATATAAGGTAAACTCTCTTTAAATTCTCTTATTTTAACCAAGTTCAGTAGATTTAAAAAAAAATATCACACAGCCTAAACACTGACAGGTGAAAAAAAATGCAATTAGACTTTATATTCATGCATCATTTTTATATCCTCCAGTGACAGCAAGACGGATGAAAAGGAGAAAGAAAAAGAGGCAAAGGAGCCCATGGTTGGCCCCATTGATGTGGTAAGCTCAGTCACCATCACACTCTCATCTCTCTCTTGAATTAGGGGTTTGAAGCAGTTTATGTAGTTTAATTTTTTATTTCCTACAGTCTCATTCTTTCAACTGTTTTCACTTAAAACAAAAATGGTACCCAAAAGTGGTTCTTTGGCTGGTTATAACAAGGGAACCTGTTGTGGTGTTATTTGGAACCCATTCTTTAAAGGTGCTATAGGCTACAACACCTTCGTCAATTCATGCTGATGTTTAGTATTATAGCTGTTTCAAAATGTTATGATATCATGGAGTAGTCAATATGTTTCTTAAATGACACTTTTACTTATAATATGAACAATTATTTATCATTTCTTGTGAGATAACCTGTTGGTGTAAAGGTTAAGAATCCTGCACTAAATGCTTACAGAGGAACTCAATATAAACCTGGCTGAGAGCCACTCCTTTAATGTGTCATCCTGTGGAAGTGCACTGTTTGTAGGCTCTTTGAAAGTCTTGTTTCTATTCTTTCTCCAGTAAACTCACCTAAACTAAGCTGAGAAACCAGCAAGGAACCTCTAAAGAACAATTTAGAGGCTTAAAATATTCTTTCTCTGCTGGTTCTTCAGCTTAGTTTACTGGGGGAGGAACCAGTAGAGAGCCTCTAAAGAAACATGCAGGGCCTTAATAAAAGGTTCCTTAGTTTAGTTTAGTTTAGTTTAGTTTAGTTTACGAGGGAAAGAACTAGTAGAGAACATCTAAAGAACCTTACAGGGGCTTAAAATGTTCTCTACTGGTTCTTCAGATTAATTTAATTTAGTGGGGAAAGAACCAGTAGAGAACCTCTAAAGAACCATGCAGGGTCTTAATAAAAGGTTCTCTATTGGTTCCTTAGTTTATCTTACTTTAGTTTAGTGACATTTAGTTTAGTTTACTGAGGAAAAAAACAGTAGCGATCCTCTGAAGAACCTTAGGGGGTTTAAAATGTTCTTTACTGGTACTCAAGCTAAATGTAGTTTATTGGGGAAATAACCAACGCAGAACCTCTAACGAACCATACGGTGGCTTAATTAGGTTCTCTATTGGTTCCTTAGTTTAGTGTAGTTTAGCTTAGCTTAGCTTAGCTTAGCTTAGTTTTGTGTAGCTTAGCTTAATTTATCTTAGTTTACTGGGGAAAGAACCAGTAGATCCTCTAAAGAGCCATATTGGGGCTTAAAATGTTCTCTGCTGGTTCTTCAGCATAGTTTTGTATCGTTTACTGGGGAAAGAAGTAATAGTGAACCTCTAAAGAAACATACAGGGCCTTCAAAAAGATTCTTTATTGGTTCTTTATTTTATTTTAGTTTTGTTAGTTTTGTGTATTGGAGAAAAGAACCAGTAGAGATCCTCTAAAGAACCATACAGGGCCTAAATAAAAGGTTCTTCAAGGTTTAAAGTTCAAGGTTCAGTTTATTTTATTTTATGTTTATTTTATGTTTACTCAAACATGTTAAAAACATGAGGGAATGAAATTCGTTACTCAGGTCCAGCAGAATAAATAGCTCAGTTTAGTTTAGTTTGCTGGGGGAAATAACCAACAGAGAACCTATAAAGAACCATATTCAGACTTTAAAAAAAAGTTCTCTATTAGTTCCGTAGTTTAGTTTAGTTTAGTTTAGTTTAGTTTAGTAAGAACCAATAGAGAACCTCTAAAGAACCTTACAGGGCCTTAAAATGTTCTCTACTGGTTCTTCAGATTAATTTAATTTAGTGGAGAAAGAACCAGTAGAGAACCTCTAAAGAACCATGCAGGGTCTTAATAAAGGTTCTCTATTGGTTCCTTAGTTTAGTTTAGTTTAGTTTAGTTTAGTTTAGTTTGGTGTAGTTTAATTTAGTGGGGAAAGAACCAGTAGAGAACCTCTAAAGAACCATGCAGGGTCTTAATAAAGGTTCTCTATTGGTTCCTTAGTTTACTTTAGTTTAGTTTAGTTTAGTTTAGTTTAGTTTGGTGTAGTTTAATTTAGTGGGGAAAGAACCAGTAGAGAACCTCTAAAGAACCATGCAGGGTCTTAATAAAAGGTTCTCTATTGGCTCCTTAGTTTATCTTACTTTAGTTTAGTGACATTTAGTTTAGTTTACTGAGGAAAAAAACAGTAGCGATCATCTGAAGAACCTTAGGGGGTTTAAAATGTTCTTTACTGGTACTCAAGCTAAATGTAGTTTATTGGGGAAATAACCAACGCAGAACCTCTAACGAACCATACGGTGGCTTAATTAGGTTCTCTATTGGTTCCTTAGTTTAGTGTAGTTTAGCTTAGCTTATATATCTTAGCTTAGTTTTGTGTAGCTTAGCTTAATTTATCTTAGTTTACTGGGGAAAGAACCAGTAGATCCTCTAAAGAGCCATATTGGGGCTTAAAATGTTCTCTGCTGGTTCTTCAGCATAGTTTTGTATCGTTTACTGGGGAAAGAAGTAATAGTGAACCTCTAAAGAAACATACAGGGCCTTCAAAAAGATTCTTTATTGGTTCTTTATTTTATTTTAGTTTTGTTAGTTTTGTGTATTGGGGAAAAGAACCAATAGAGATCCTCTAAAGAACCATACAGGGCCTAAATAAAAGGTTCTTCAAGGTTTAAAGTTCAAGGTTCAGTTTATTTTATTTTATGTTTATTTTATGTTTACTCAAACATGTTAAAAACATGAGGTAATGAAATTCGTTACCCAGGTCCAGCAGAATAAATAGCTCAGTTTAGTTTAGTTTGCTGGGGGAAATAACCAACAGAGAACCTATAAAGAACCATATTCAGACTTAAAAAAAAAAGTTCTCTATTAGTTCCGTAGTTTAGTTTAGTTTAGTTTAGTTTAGTTTAGTTTAGTTTAGTAAGAACCAATAGAGAACCTCTAAAGAACCATACAGGGGCTTAATGCTCTCTACTGGTTCTTCAGCTCAGTTTAGTTTACTGGGAAAAGAACCAGTAGAGAACTTTTAAAGAACCATACAAACCCACACACTCACCCAGTGACCAACAACAGTGCTCACAAGTGTATTAGGTGTAAAGTGTCAGTCATGGATGTTGCGCTGCATGTGTCAAATATGAAGACAGGAGCAGCTTTAAATTATTTAACATAGTATACTGTAAAGCTGTGCATGCTCAATGGCTACAGCCTTTGGTGGTTTAATCTTACAGTCATAACAGCAGGTTGCGTGTGTGTCAAGGTTTGTGTGAGTGTATGAAGTAAGAGGAGGAGGCTGGGAGAGAGGATGGGAGTGTGGAACATCCTGCTGTTGTTTGACCCCACCTGTCCCCCGCTGTGAGAATATAATAGCCGCTTAGAGTTAAAAGTCTTTCCCCCGCTCTGATTGTGTAATTCAAAATTCTTCAAATCCAGCAAATAATCAGGTGCATCCACAACATACAGATACTGATATCTGCTGTTCTGTCTTTGGTCTGTCCGCACTGTCTCTTTTACCTGAGTGTAGTTCAGGTTTGCAAGCGGAGTGGACATTGCGTTGATCTTGGTTGGGACACTGCTGGCCATGGTGCATGGTGTGGTGCTTCCTCTCATGTGTGTCGTGTTTGGGGACATGACGGACAGCTTTGTACAGGACGCGATGAGCCACATGAACACCAGCCACCTCAGTGAGTTTTCAGTTACAGACATCGGCACACATAAGTAACTGAAATAAATAATTAATATGCAGTAACACCTATATCACTGTCTTTTTTTTTACCGTGTGTCATCAGATATCACCATCCCACCAAGAAACAGCACCTTACAGGAGGATATGACGAGGTAAGACTTTACCTGATCCGCATCAACAGAGCAAGTTGTCGTTATCGAGTGAAAATATCTCCAAAATATTGAATGTAACGTTGATGATTGTTTGTTTTTTTAGTTTGTTGAGAGTTTCATAAATGCAGGAAGATCAGGGAGCTTGCAGGGATTAGATATAAAATAGCATAAATTGCAATTTCTTGTTACTTGCATCCTTATTAGACACATTCGAGAACTTTTGAAGTCCTTTGTGTCACAACACTTCTCTCCTTCTCCTTCCAGGTTTGCCATCTACTACTCCATCCTGGGTTTTGTGGTGCTGATTGCAGCCTATGGGCAGGTGGCCTTCTGGAGCCTGTCGGCCGGGCGGCAGGCCTCACACATCCGCAAGTTGTTCTTCCACCGCATCATGCAGCAGGACATCGGCTGGTTTGATGTCACTGAAACGGGAGAGCTCAACACACGTCTCACAGAGTGGGTAACAGACAAGTCACACACTCTATTTTATGTGCAGGTGTAAAGTAGAGCTGCGACCAATTATTGATTCAAAATTTGCTGATCATTTTTTGAGTGGCTGTGGCTCAGAGGAATCGAGATTGGCAGTCCAATCCCAGGCTCCTCCAGTCCGCATGTGGAAGTGTCCTTGGGCAAGCCCCAAATTGCTCCTGATAGCGGTTCTATCAGTGTGTGAGAGCATGTGAATGGTTACTGAGTAGCACGTAGCACCTTGTATGGCAGCTTTGGCCACCAGTGGTTGAATGGGTGAATGTGACTCGTAGTGTAAAAGCGCCTTGAGTAGTCGGAAGAGAAAGGTGCTGCACAAGTGCAGTCCATTTACCATTTTCTCAAATAACTGATTCCCCATTTGGGTCATTGTAATTGAAAAATACCCATAACAGATAGATAGATAAATGTTGCAGTACTCTGAAGATCATTGGTGTTTTTATTTTTGTGTGCAGTGATATCTACAAGATCCAAGAGGGTATTGGCGACAAGGCTGGGAAGCTTGTCTATGCTATCGCCAGCTTATTGTCATCCTTCATCATCGGCTTCGTCAAAGGCTGGAAACTCACTCTGGTCATCCTGGCTGTGAGCCCTTTGCTGGGCATTTCAGCTGCACTTTTCTCAAAGGTGAGTGTCTCTCCATCTTCTTCCTCTTCCTCTCTTTTACAGGTGCAATGTGTAGGAAAGAAATGGGGGTCAGCATTTCACCTCTTTGCCTCTGGGTCCATGAAATCTAAATTTAGTCATCAGTCATATTAAAAAAAAGCTAACTACTAACAGCAGGGCAAGAATACGCACAATTTGGAATAAGCTGCTGAAACTCTGAGAGCCGGTCGAAATATTCATGTGTGACATCAGCCTGTAGCTTAAGTTACAACCTGCTGAGCTCAGTTTTAGCAAGACCACAGTAGCAAGATAACAGCTCTACCAAAATCATATACTGCCACCATTTGAAATGTTTCCAGCATTGTTTGTGTTGTCTTTACTTACACCGAAGATTCATTTAGCTATATAGCCAACGTTGGATTTTACTTACCAGTCTAAAGCCCCTTTTTCACCGCACAACAAACCCATCAACACCTGCTAACATCTGGCTTTTTGAATGTAATGGCAAAGGCTACAACCACTATTCACACATGGATTTATCGGCTCCGGCTCATATCGGCATTGATGGAAACACGATGGACACGCTGATTTTTTTACTGGCGAGATTCAATGATGCATCAACACAAAATACTGTCCGTCTCCGCCCAAGCAGCGCTCAAACATTGGTCCAAATTACTCTGCACTGAGTTTGAAACGGAGACTGAGTAAGTAAGAGATAAAGAAGTAACCACCATGAAGTTTTCGCAGGCCTCTATGCTGCGTGGATGTCGAACGTGACACCAAAAAACCCCCACAAACACAGAAAGGCATACTCGTCTGCTGCAGTGCCGTGTACACAGCTCTGGTCTACTGGGAATGGAGTCCATTGCCTGTTTTTAGCAGGTTTACCCGTGTTTAAAGAACACGTGTATACGCACTAATTGGGGTATAAAAGAAAAGTTCAGCATACAAACCTCTTCAGCAGGTGGTTGGCTAAAGTTAAACTTGTCTGTGCTGAAAGCCAGACAGCAAAAGAAAGGTTTTTAGTGAAAATACATGTGTTTGGGAAGAACTGATCATACTACTGGATAAATGCAAAGTGGAACTATTTTTGCTTCATGTGTCACTGAGCAACTTTCATAGGAATCAACAGGGTCCCGGCTCCAACGCTGTATCCAGTTCTCTTCATACACCAGCTCTTTGTCCATCTTTCCACATTTCTCTTACCCCCTCACAGGTATTCTTAATAACATTATGTTTTTTGGTCAAAACAGGTGCTGGCGACTTTCACTTCTAAAGAGCAGACTGCATATGCCAAAGCTGGAGCTGTGGCAGAGGAGGTGCTCTCTGCTATCAGGACAGTGTTTGCCTTCAATGGTCAGGAAAAAGAAATCGCCAGGTACAATGTGTTTATGTACTGTATGTAAAGGTATAGGTGGTCCACTGCTGATTTTCAGCTTATTGTCAGATGGATATAATGACACTGATTCTCTCAAAATAAATATTGAGTGTTTGAGTTATTTTTCATTTGCAGATCTGTGATTATAATACTAATAATAAAACTATTTGTATAGCACGTTTTATACAAAAATATGGAATACAATGGGTTTTACAAAAGACAGATGCTGAAACCAGGGACATTAAAAACCAAATAGGGATGCACGATATTGGAATTTTTGCCGATTTGCAGGTCAACAGTGTGTACCATGTAGAAGTGGTTTACATCATTTGAAAGCAGGAAACCTGAAGAGAATGATGAAAGTATATGATAGGCATTCCAATGCTCCATTATGTCTCATAAGTTGTTCCAGCAACTTTGGGGTTGATACCATTTGTTACACAGATTTGGTGCTAAAATTGTCAATTCTGTGGGTCTTCTTGATTCATATGATACCAGTTTCATCACTGTAGCGTTAAAACTCAGCCCTCTACAGCCTCTTTAAAACAGGAATGTCAGCTGGGATTGCCAGCGGTCCTGTGGGCTTTATAGGGTTAATGCCAAACAAGCTGCATAGTAAATAAATGACAAGTAAAGCTGGCTGAGCTACAGTATATCAGTAGTTTCTAGGTATGGCTAGTCACCTTGTAGCTGAAGATCAGTATTGGAATATCCAAATTCAAAGTGTTGCCCTTAAATTACAACAAGATTTTGACATTAATCATTAATCCATTAATCTGATGGATGGTTATGAGACCAAATTTTGCTAATTTCTACTCAACAAAGCTAAATCTGTTTTTAAGGTGATTAAAGTCCAGGAAATAGCCCCCGCAAAGCTGTAACTGGATAAAACCCATCAAAAAAGCCCATAGAATTAGATTACTGTTTTCTACTGATGTGACATTTGTTGATGCCAAAAGGCAGTGTTGTCACCACAATCTAATTTATATTTAACTTTGTTTCCACTGAGCTAACACTCATGCTTGTATGCGTGTTACACCACAGATATAATAAGAATTTGGAGGATGCAAAGAACGTGGGAATAAAGAAGGCGCTATCTGCTAACTTGGCCATGGGCTTCACCTTCATGGTGATCTACCTGTCTTATGCACTGGCCTTCTGGTACGGAAGTACACTCATCCTGAGTAAGGAGTACACAATTGGAACTGTACTCACTGTGAGTAGACACTTCATGACAGAATTTCTAGTGATTTGTTTCCCTTTAACCATAAAGAGACGCTAAAAAAGAAGGTTGCTACAGCTTACTGTGATTTGTGTGTCTTCAGGTGTTCTTCGTCGTGCTTATTGGAGTGTTCACTTTGGGACAAACCGCTCCTAACTTCCAGACCTTTGACAGCGCCAGGGGAGCTGCACATAAAGTGTACAGCATTATTGAACGCGTAAGGAATGCAACATTTTCCCCTAATACACACACGTCAAAAGATTTGATTTAGACCTTTTTGCTGCTGGACAGTTGTCGGGCTGCATTACTGAGCACGCACCGCTGCACTCTGGCGCTATGGGAAGCTGCTTTGATGCAGCCGACAACTTGGAGTGAGAGATGTTGGATTTTACTCTAATTGGAGCACCTGCTGTCAGGTCATTTGGTTTATACTGCACAGCTGTGGCTCTCCCCTTCCTGAACTTACTGCAAGTGTACCGTGAGGCTAAACAAGGTCTCAATTTTTCAAATATCGCACTGCTGTCACACACGTACATCAGCTTCTCATCATGCATGTCTATGACTACCGTCAGTGTATTTAAAATAGTCCATATACTTATAGGAACATGCAGCATAACCAGTTCGTTTAAGGGAACCACTTCCAGGGGAATGTTAGACATTCTCGTCTCTTGCTATTCTGGGATGGGCCTGTGTTTAGTTTACAGTGCGCCTTTTAGTCTTTCACATTGACAACACACTTAAGTTAGTTTAGAGGCACAGCTACAGGATGTTGTATTCTGCAAACTAGTGGGCGAATATAACATCTGTTTGCGCATTAACAAAAATAAGTAGTTAGTATACAGCCTCAAGCAAAACTGAAGAAGTGTGAAATCTTCCCTGAGGGCATTTTAGTTGTCCCATGCTCCAAGCTCAAAACTGAAAGAGACTGCACAGGGTTCACGCTGATCCTTAAAAAGTCTCTAAGGTCTAGTGTGTAGGATTTTGGGGCTCCAGTGGTGAGTTTGCAGAACTGGAACTTCTCCCATGTGCCAAGTGTTTAGAAGAGCCACAGTGGCCGACTTGAAGCCCTTGTTTGATTTGTCTAAAATCAGTCCTTGGATAGTTTTAAAATTGTTTGAGACATGGGAAGTAGGATTTTATGATTGTTTTTTTTAAATCGGTAACATCTATATTTTTGAAATAATTTACAGGAACCAACAACTATTATTTTGTTTCCAACCTGGATGCTCAGAGCAGAGGATCCATTGTCTGTTAGCAAGCTGTCACTCTACCCTGGAGGACATGGGGGAGTGCACAGTCAACAAAAACTGGCTATTTAACCAACATTTCACGGCATGGCTGAAACTGGTCCAAGGCGATGCATATGAGGCTCATGTATTTCATGCAAAAAGTTTTCAAACTTGACATGATGGGAATCCCATATGCTGATTGAGAAACACAAAATTTGCAAGGACAGCTGCCAAGAAATGCCAGGTATTTCCCAGTATTGTTCTGCCCTCGGCTCTGCCTTTTTCTTCTTCTTTTTTTTTCAGCATTTAAAATAGTAGTACAACAAAGAATTTGCCTAAGTCATTGCACTTCATTTACCAATACCTTGTTAGGTTTTCCTTAAATTTGTTTCTGAGAAAACTTTCCATCAGATTCATGATATTTCCTTAAACGGCAGAATTATTCACACCTGTGTTCTTATGGTGAATCCTGTTCCTCGTACGTTTACAGTGCATGCCTATTAGTCCTAATTAGTATAGGTAAACACCCTGCAAACACAGAATGGTGAGGCCTCAAAGAGGGACATGAAACAGTACACCAAGAGAAGCAGTGAAAGCACAAAAGAGCTGTAGAAAAAACATTAGCCTTTTTAGAGTAAATACGTTCGCCCTCACACTGAGAGCTAACAGCCTTCCTCCCATTGTCTGTCTGAGGTTGTGATAACGATCAGGTTCTTTATCCAACTGTGGCTGAACTACAAACTGAGCTGAGCTTTTAGAAGTCAAAATATAGTTAAAGGGAAACAATTTTCAACCAGCTGTGGGTAGTGTGTGTAAATGAGCTGTGGTACACTTTCCTACATCTAACTAGTGCCGAGATCTCCCAGCAAAACTCTGGATGACACATTTTGTGGGCTATCATCCAGTAGAATTTCCCTGGCTCACAGGCTATTGCTCAGACTACAGGCTGTACTTCTATATATTGGTATTGCCCACCACCCATGCCACCACACAAAGGGTATAGAAGTGGATCAAGTGACAGACCCGGCCCTCTCTTTCTCAAACTCAGACCAAACTCCAATCAAACATTAAAACTAGGTGGTGCTGACCGAATATAAACTAAGATTCTGTTACAATACTGCCTGTTTCTCACCTAAAATGTTTACAGAACATATTTTAGTGCCCTGTTTAGCTGTAATCACTAGAGTTCGTGAACAGAAAGTGGGCACCATTGAGAAATTGAGATTGAATGCTATAACTAGTCATCACTGATCAAATATAAACCAAAATTCTGCTACTGCACTGCCTATTTCTGGCCTAAAAATTTTTCAGAAACATGCGTTAGCTTACTGTTTAACTGCAGTTCAAGATTGTTTCGTTACCAGCCAGCCGCCATTGCATTTTGTCACCTGCCAGCGGGAGTGCTTATTGGTCTGGTGCGGCACTGTGCATTCTGGTAGTTGTAGGTTTTCTACCTCTTGAGCAAAAGCGAACGCCACAGCCCTTTACCTCTGTTTTCCCTCGTCATTTTGCAACATTTTCAAAGGTATTTGTGTCTTTCCACTGCATAGACAGCCTAGTTTAATGAAAAGACCATCTTTCCTGACGTGAAATACTTCATTAACTCTTGTCTCAACAGCAACCCACCATCGACAGCTATTCAGAGGAGGGCTTCAAGCCTGATTCCATCACAGGAAACATAGAGTTTCAGAACATCTTCTTCAGCTACCCCTCGAGGCCGGACGTCCAGGTACTTCCACATAGCCACTTTTACTGAACTCTAAAACAGACATGACAGTACTTCATTCTGTATCTCATTATTGACATTGTTATCATTTGTAGATATTGAATAACTTGTGTCTGAGTGTGAAGAGTGGACAGACCATAGCCTTGGTGGGTAGCAGTGGCTGTGGTAAAAGCACCACGATCCAGCTGCTGCAGAGGTTCTACGATCCTCAGGAAGGATCTGTAAGTGATTTCTGATTATGATATGATTTCTAAACCACTTCATTCAAAAGATTAATTCAGTATTTGTTATCATATCCTTGGTGGACTCTAAATGAGCAGTTAAAAAACACTATTCTTTATCAACAACAGGAGATGCCATTTCAAATATGCATTGTTGTGTTTAGATGTTGATAACGTTCTGTGTCTGTTTGACTCCTGCATTTTAGGTGACTATTGACGGTCATGACATCCGTTCTCTTAATGTCCGCTACCTGAGAGACATGATTGGAGTGGTGAGTCAGGAGCCCATCCTCTTTGCCACCACCATCTCTGAGAACATCAGATACGGCCGACTTGATGTGACGCAGTGGGAGATTGAACAAGCTGCCAAGGAGGCTAATGCCTACGACTTCATCATGAACCTTCCTGATGTATGATTGTATTTATGACTTCTTGTCCTCTGTGCTTATCAAGAACTACGTCAACCACTTACTTATATCTAACTCTTGTTGAGCAGAAGTTTGAGACAATGGTCGGAGAGCGAGGGACTCAGATGAGTGGAGGACAGAAGCAGAGGATTGCAATTGCTCGAGCTCTAGTCCGCAACCCCAAAATCCTGCTGTTGGACGAAGCCACATCTGCTCTTGATGCTGAGAGTGAGACTATTGTACAAGCTGCACTCGACAAGGTACTTCTACACCTCATTCAGAACACAACTGTAGGGTTTACTTTGCACTTTGAATCTGACACAGTTAAAATACACTTACTACAACAAGGAGTACTTTAGTTTATTGATTTCTTTAGTGACACTAATGGCACAGGTTTAGAAATGTTGGTCTGTCTGTTGGTCGGTCCACCGCTTTGGTCCATACTGAAATATCTATCGATTACCATGAAATTTTGTACAGACATTCATGGTCCTCAGAGGCTGAACCCTTCTGACTTCAGTGATCCCCTGAGCCTTTTCCTCTAGCGCCACTAACTAGTTTGTTTGTAGTGAATCCTCTCGGCTATGGATGAATTAAGAAAAACTAGAGACTGCGTTCCAAGATTGTGCTCCATTCATTTCCATCAAAGCTTCTGCAGACTTCCTCATGCTGTCTCTGGCCCGTAGAGCAAAAATAGACTGTGTTCTGACTTCCTTTGGTTGAGGCAGTTTACTTCCTGTCGGCTCCTCACACACAAGAATGGGATTAAATATCATAATCATACAGCTGCTTTAGACCCAAACTTTATTGGAGGTTATGGACCAAATTCTGATTATACAAAACTTAATTTCAACAAATAAATTCACAATTTTACAGACATTTATTTTCTAATGTATGTATGGTAAAAAGTATTTTTGGGCTGCCTGCGTGCGCCATGTGATACCGCAATATTGAGTGTGGTGATTGCAGTAAATCACCTTCAAAGCTGCTCCTTGGTCTCAGCAAATACTTGATGGATATCCATAAAATAAAGTATATATATCCATGGCACCTATAAGATGCAAGGACTTTTGTGATGCTCTGACTTTCCCAGTAACACCACCAGCAAGCCAAATTTGAATTTGTCCAGCACTACTGGTTTTTCAACAAATATTTGCCACAGAGATTATTTTCTGCAGTAATCCTAAATCAAATGGAAAAATCCCAATGGCGATCTTAACTTTAGTGTTTGTCTACAAATAAACATAATTCCTGCAGCACTCTATAATGGCATTCTAATCCCCCCTGACCCTATGTTCACCCTACAAGCAATAACGCAAAGGCGCGACAAGCTACATTATCGCAGTCGCCATGGAACTGTTGCTCAAACATTTGTTAAAATGGTTACGGCATCACAGGCTTGGGTGTCTGCTACTTGCGAGAATGCACCTCAATTGAATGCCATCTAAAGTTTGTATTAAGTCATAAAAATATTGATGCGATCAATCAGTTCCCTCACTTTTGGCCTCCTGCTGCCACCCCATTGCATCCCTGTGTGCACTGCAATGCACAGAAACGAAGCATAGCATCAGCTAAGTTAGCTAAACAACACAGTACCACAGCTAGAAAACAAAAACATGCAATTAGTTGATACTTTACCGTGTCATTGAAGTGCTGGATAAGTTAAGGCCAGCTCAAGTTTCGTTTGTAGCACTTCACGAACGTCAGCAGCAACAAGTGTCTGGCGTCAGTCTGTAGCTTCATGTCACCAGCTTCCACTTAAAATGGCATGTATCCTGTTGCTGCGCCGCTCGTAAAGTGAGCACAGCATTAGTGTTTAATGCTAAATAGCAATTGAAACCATACTAACTTGCTAAATTAAGATGGTGAACATGGCAAACACCACATTAGCATTTTCATTGTAAGTGTGTTAGCATGCTGATGTTAGCATTATGCTCAAAGCACTACCACTGTGCCTAAGGGCTCATTTATGCTCAGTGTTAGACGAAGATGGACAGAGCCTTCTGTCCCTACTCTGTGTTTATTTTGTCCACATTTGTGCACGTTTTCAGAAAGCTTACAGATACAAACAAAAGAGAGAAGTACCACCGGATTGTGGAGGCAGTGTTAGCTAGCTTAAGCAAGATGCGACCGCAGGAGATGACAAATCAATGTAAATGTAAATAAAACAAATCTGTAATATATAATAATATATAGTCAAAGCAGTCGAAAGAATTCTCTGTCCACATATTGACATGTACTTAATGGCAGTACAGACCACCGCTGTCTACAACGCTGCCTCTGTTTAAGGGTACAATATTACGACCTCCTCCACCGTCGCCTCGATTGTTGTTGTATGAAATGTTTGACTCTGCCCTCTAGTGCCATTTATTGACTGTATCCAGGCCATCATAAAGGACGCATAGACGTATGAGGGCAGGGATGTTTACGACATTTGAAACTGACCTATCTATTTTCATTCGTAAAGGGAGTACAAATGGGCCATAAAGCTGACAGCCATAGACTTTTAGTTTTATCACTATTTCGTGTCAGCTGCAAACATGTTGTATGTACAAGTTAGCTCATTCTTGCAAATGTAAGCATTGAAACAAGAACTCAGACACATCTTTGTGTGCAGGTCCGACTGGGTCGTACCACCATAGTTGTTGCCCACCGCCTCTCAACCATCAGAAATGCTGACGTCATTGCCGGCTTCCAAAACGGTCGAGTTGCTGAGCTGGGGACTCACAGCCAACTGATGGAAGAGAAAGGAGTCTACCATACACTGGTCACCATGCAGGTAACATAGACACACATAAACACTTTGACGCACCATTTGGGCAGTCTGGAAGTCAAGGGGAGTTTTCATAATGTTCAGTCTTTGATATTGTTTGTGTTTGTGGTTTCCTCCCGTCGCTTTCTGCCGCAGACCTTTCAGGAACTCGAGGAGTTGGAAGAGGCAGAGTTTGAGCTGTCTACAGATGGGGAGAAGAGCCGCTTAGTCAGGACCCCCTCTCGGTCCTCTCTGCGCAGGAGGAAGTCCACTAGGGGCTCCTCCTTTACCGGCTCAGTGGGAGAGAAAGAAGAGAAAGAAAAGCTCAAGGATGGAAATAAGGAGGAGGTGAGCTGTGTTGCAACATCTCTGGGGTTTGAGTGGCTTGGTCAACACCACTATTACCTGAAATTCATATATCATTAGATGTCAAAACAGGCTTTTAATAGGGCTGAGAGATTTTCTTTTTTCAGGCTTTAACAGGTTTTTTTACAGTGAAAAATCTCTTCCTGAAAAAAAGGGAGAAAGGCACAGGGAAAGGAGGTGTGACTCAGCTCTTTCTCCCTCTGTCTGTAGGATGACAGTGCTCCACCCGTGTCGTTCTCTGAAGTGATGCGTCTCAACCTTCCCGAGTGGCCGTACATTTTGGTTGGGACCATCTGTGCCATCATCAACGGTGTGATGCAGCCACTGTTCGCTGTCATCTTCTCCAAGATCATCACTGTATGTAACTCACAGTATCTGTGTACCACAAGTTACTTTACTGCTTCATGTTCACTGCAATATTTGTCAGATGTTGTAAAAGGTGTTTTTCCCCCCTCTCCTTTCAGGTGTTTGCAAACCCAGATACAGAGGTTGTTAGGCGAAAAACTGGATTCTTTTCTCTGATGTTTGTCGCTATTGGAGCTATAAGCTTTGTCGCTATGTTTCTACAGGTAAACGCGTACAGACACACACACGTGAATTTGACGTACATTTGTTTTGTTGGTGTGTTTATTGCCCTCAGAGGAATAGTTTGATGTTGTGGAAAATAGACTTCTTTAATTTCTTGATTTGCGACGAGATCAAACCGCTTTAGAAAGTTGCAGAGAAAAGGTGCAGCGGTGTGAACTGGCAGTCTGAGCTCGACTCAAGCCGACTGATCGTGTCACCTCCAACTCAGCTGCATTTATATGCAGATATTTGAGCGGTGCTTGGTCTGGTGCCCAGATATCTGCTGGCTACACCACCCCAGCCAAAGATATTGGCCGTCGCCCCTAGAGTCTTCATCGTCATTAGACAATAGTGGATGCGTTCTGAGATTGCAGGAAGCCTGGCTCTGTCAGGAGCGTATCTGTGTTCCCAGGGTCCTATGTTTCCCAGTTCAATATTCTGTTAACTCATATCAACCCTTCTTATGTGTTCGTGCCACTTTCTTGTCACTCTCTGTCTCTAAGATAGCCTTGGTGTCCTCTGACTGTCAATACATAAGACATATCAGACAAAGAACCATAAATAGACCAAGAAGTAAGATTATGACTGATGAGAAAGATTGCAGGTGAAGGTTCAGACCTCTTTTCCAGGTCTGTTTGGAGAGAAGAATAGTTAGTTAATTTTCACCTTAACCTGACCTTCGACCTCTTTCCTAACCTTAACCTGACTCGAGATGGGAAGTAAACCTTGCCCTTGATCTCTTTTCTAATCCTTTGTTAGCCCTTTTTCATTCCCTAATTGATTTTGTTTTTTTATTCTTTCATTCTTATAAAAGATTTTAAGTTCTTAGGCCACAATTAATTTTGGAACAGTCATTCAACAGAAAGAGCAACTATATTTTGACAAAGACCTGTGGCCAGCACAATTTCATCACTCTCAGAGTCATGATTTTAGTCCCCTAACCTAACCTAAACCTAATGTCATAATAAATGAATGCAGAGCTGGGGAACATTGGACCTTGGAAACCTCAGCATAAATAAGCTTAAGTGCACCTCTAAAGCTCACTAATTAACACATTGTGTCTTGTTTGTTTAGTCGGTTCACAGGACAAATGTAAACACAAGTAACTTTGGAAAGAGCTGGGCTAGCTGTTTCCCCGTTTCCAGTCTTTGTGCTGAGCTAAGCTAACCATCCTCTGCGTGCTGTATGTTTACTGGACAGACATCAAACTTCTCACCTATCTCTCAGCAAGAAAGCTAATAAACAAATTTCCTTTCTTTACCCAGATGATAGTGTTGCAGTAAAAACACACGTGGCAGTTAGTCATAGAAGTTCACGTCAATGTCCAGGTGTGCTCATGTCCTCTGTCCTTTGTCTGTCTAAACTCTTAACAGGGCTTCTGTTTTGGTAAATCTGGAGAGATTCTGACCCTCAAATTGAGACTCGGGGCCTTTAAGTCCATGATGAGACAGGTGAGTGTTACCAACTGAAATGTGAGACCTTCACAGGGTGGGAACTAAATTAGTAATAACAGAGTCATGGTTTCGACCCTCTTTTTCCTCACCTCTGTTATCTCTCTGTCAGGGCTGAGCTTCTCCAGATACTGAGTTCTTAATAAACAATAACTAATAATGTTGTTTTTTTTAAAACTTTGTTGATTATCTTGTAAAGTCTGATGTTACAGAGAGATAAGGTTTTCAGGTGGTAAATGGACGTGCACTTATATAGCACCTTTCCAGTCTTCTGACCACTCAAAACGCTTTTTTTTTACACTACGAGTCACATTCAAACACTAATTTATATACTGGTGGTCAAGGCTACCTTACAAGGTGCCACCTGCTACTAAGTTTTTAACACACTCACACACCGATGGAACAGTCACCAGGAGCAAACTGGGGTTCAGTATCTTGCTCAAGGATATCCGGGGATTGAACCGCTGATCTTCCGGCTCTAATTAGTGAAGGACCCACTGTACCTCTGAGCCACAGCCACCCAAAGATGGTCAAAAGCTAAATGGTTTCAATACAGTAGAAGTCAGAACAATATGGCACTCAAGCTCAAAATATTATCTCCATAGATTTATTTTCATACCCAGATCGGACACCAAGATGGCTCGTATTCATTCCAATGGAGCTGCTCTCCTGTCTCATATGCCAAATAAAGTTTTGAGAGTTACCTCTCTGCTCTTAGACTTAACATTGTTAAAACACCATAGATTTTTTACAATTTTTACAATTAACTCTCAGTTTATGTTAGCTATTCATTTTCATTACCAAAAAAAAGTCAATCCCTGTTTTCTTGTAGGACCTTGGCTGGTTTGACGACCCTAAAAACAGTGTCGGAGCGCTTACTACCAGACTGGCCACAGACGCTGCCCAAGTGCAAGGGGTAAGTCTCACCAGCTATCACACACGTGCGCACACACAACTCAAGTCAAACCAAATCATAACACAAGTGATCACAGGACACTTTACAGAGAGAGCGCATCTAGATCATACAATGAGCCAACTACTCAAAGGAATTTTCTAATTACTTTCGTCCGTTGTGCGGCAGTAGCAAGGAAAAGCTTCCTTTTAACATATTCGAATTGAACAGCCAAATCTTCGACTGATATAATTCTGAGTCAGGTACAGTCCTAGTAATGAAAACAATAATGATAATGGACGAAGGACTAATAATAATATCTGTGGACATCAAGCAGGATCACGGCAGCAGGTGCCACCCCAATCCAAGAAAACTGCCAGCTCAGTGTATCCTCCAAAAGTCCCCCTGCAGACTAGGCAGCCTAACTAGGGGCTGGTTCAAAGCAAGCCTGAGCCAGCCCTAACTAAAAGCTTTATCAAAGAGGAATTTAGCTACAGCACTATCGATAGACATCTAGTACCTAACAAAGTTATTTGACCAGTGAATCAGAAAAAACTGTGATCTTGTCATCTGCTTTGTTCCCGTCTTCCACCTCTGCTCAGGCCACAGGAGTGCGTATGGCCACGCTGGCCCAGAACATAGCCAACATGGGCACCAGTTTGATCATCTCCTTTGTGTACGGCTGGGAGCTGACCCTGCTCATCCTGTCTGTGGTGCCTGTCATGGCATTGGCTGGAGCTGTGGAGATGAAGGCGCTCACTGGAAATGCTGCTGAAGACAAGAGGGAGCTGGAGAAGTCTGGAAAGGTGGGGATTCAGTGTGGGGCTCTCCAAGGACAAGCACCAGTTGTTAAAACATCGACCTCGTGATATGTAATGATGTTTGTATGGTTTGTCTCTACAGATTGCTACGGAGGCCATCGAGAATATCCGAACTGTTGTCTCTCTTAACAGAGAGCCCAAGTTTGAGTCTTTGTATCAGGAAAACCTCGAAATACCATTCAAGTACGGAAAATTCGATTTTTTTAAAACACAGCTCCGAACAAAAACTATATATGTATTTTAATGAAATTTGATTGATTTGAGAAGTGCGCTCTCTCATGACACCTCTCTATATCTCTCTGTACAGGAACTCCCAGAAAAGCGCCCATGTCCACGGTATTACCTTCTCCTTCAGCCAGGCCATGATCTACTTTGCTTATGCAGGCTGTTTCCGCTTTGGAGCCTGGCTCATTAAGGAAGGAAGGATGGATGTCGAGGGAGTGTTTCTGTGAGTTAACAGACAGCATGACTTTGTCTTGTCTCTTAATCAGGAGATTGAGTTCCAGTTTATGATAAAGAAGATGAACAGTTTGCGTGGACTTGTAGGTTTCAGCAGGGAATATCAGCAAAGCATTTCTGTTGGGAGGAGAGGCTGTTTATATGGCTTTTAATCATTACCCCGGCCTGAAGTATGTGAGGGGCCACTGTGAATGTGTTAACTGTGAACACACGTGTTTTAGGATGCTGATGTAACTCAGTGTCATCGTTGGGAGGAGCCTCCACCTTCACTTATTTTCTACCTGTTGCACACAGAAGAAGTCCAAAGGTCACACACTGAGCTTCTGAAGGAGCATAAAACTATAAAACACAGAAATATGAACTCTCCAGCGCATGGAACAGTACACAAACACATGCTATAAACCTTCAAAGAGAGGACCGACGGAGAGTCTCTGCAAGCATGTAGGCCTACTTGCTTAATGTCCGCACATCTGATATATAGAATTTTCTGATCATTTAGTTAGAGTGAGTGAAATTTCTGATATTGTGCCACCACGCTTTAATGGTGATGCAAGCTAGATGACCTAGCTACCATGACGTTACCCATTGGTTTGTGGACTGTTGTTCTGAAGACTTGAGTTTGGGATTTTGGCCATTGTCATCCTGGTTTTTTGGAGCAAGTAGTGACCATGTTTGGACGAAAGGTTGGAGCTGTGGATGAGTGAAGTTGGATTTGACTCGTAGGCTGCGGGGAGGCCTCACAGACGGCCTGTCACTCAAGTGGCCCCACCCTTAAACAATGTCTAACTTTGATAAAATGTAAACGGGGGAGTTATAAATAAAAACTGACTCCCTGTACAGTCATTATAAATGTTGAAATTAGCTAGAGACCAGAACATTCTTTGTACCAGGCTATAAATACGTTTATTTCTGCTGTTAAGTTGGGCATTTTAACATGGGGGTCTATGGGGATTTACTCTGTTTTGGAGCCAGCCTCAAGTGGCCATTCAAGGAACTGCAGTTTTTGTCAAGTCATGTTTTCAGGGGAGCTCATGTCTCATTAGGAGGATCCAAGCTCCCTCTGACTCCGCTGTGGTTCACAAACCAATGGGTGATGTCATGGAAGCTACGCCCAAATACGGTGAACCAAAGAGGTGGACCAACAACCTGAAAGCCATGTTGCTTAAAGGGCCAGTGTGTAATATTTGGCATGGTTTATTGTCAAATCTGAATCTGAATCTGAATATTCTACCCATTAATATGTTTATATAAGTGTATAATCGCTATAAAATAAAATTTGTTTGGTTTTCGTAACCTTATAATTATGCTTTTATATATATATATAGCAAGGGTCTTGCTTTAGAAAGGTCGCCATCTTGCGCTGCCATGTATGTACGGCAGCCCGAGCAGACAATCCAGCCAGCCGGAGAACGCGTTTCGCGTGTATAAATAAACCAACGAAGACAGCGGAAGGAAGGAAGAAGGAGGAGGAAACACCCACTCAGTATGGTAAACGAGTATGTGTGTATGGAGTGTGTGTGTTACACTAGAAGAGTCAGAGTTTGAGACGGAGTCTTTTACCCCCTGGAGTGTTACCGGAGTTTTTGGAGTGCTCAAATAAACTGGCCTTTTTCCCGAACGCTACTCTGGTCTCCTGCTCGTGAGGGATTCATTACAATATCATAACATGGTTTAGATTTCTAAATAAATATTCACCTCGTTGCTAGATAGACCTACTCCTGAAAAACTGGTGTCTGCGCAAGGCTTTTTGTCCCTACGAGGCCACGGTCATTTACCCGACGGGAGGGGTGAGCGAGTGAGCCCTGCAATTTAGAATTTGACCACTGATGTCACTGTTTTCAACCCATTTTACACACTGGCCCATTAAAAATGTTAAATCTAAGTTGGAATCAATTAAGGGGAACAAATAAAAGGAGATACTGGGAACGCTGGGTGACTAAATAAGTGAATTATCTTCATCCATTCAACATTTGATAGAACTCTATTCACTATTTTATCTTTTCTTCATAAACAAAAAATTATACAAGTGGCATATAAAAGTTTATTAATTTGCAAAACAGTCCATGAGTCAGATTCAACACAGCATTATGATGATGACTTGTGCACCTTTCACCTGTGAGCTGCAAACACAACACCCCTTCATTTGTTGTATTTAAAGCTGTAAACACATGAGCCAATTCATCATGACATGACGGAAAACTGAACTCAACAGAATGGCTTGTGTAATTAGGGGACAAAAGAGGAAATGGTGTTTCTTTTCACATATGAACACCTACAAACATGTGATGTTGACACAGAGGTTAAGCTGTCATTGGCCCATGTTATCTCAGTGTTATGTAATCACGTGTAACGCTCTGTTGAGTAGTAACTGTGAAAGGTCAAACTAACGTGCATCTGACTTCCTCTCCAGTGTGGTTGCGGCTGTTCTGTACGGTGCCATGGCTCTCGGAGAGGCCAACTCCTTTGCTCCAAACTACGCCAAGGCCAAAATCTCAGCTGCCCACCTGATGATGCTGCTGAAGAAAGAACCTGCCATTGACAATCTGTCACATGAGGGAGAGTCACCGGTACATAACAGAGCCCCACACACACTAAACACGTCACATACAACACAGCTCTTTACACACATGCTAACATATCACTCCTCTGTGTCATCTTTTAAAACCGCAGGAGAAATTTGATGGTAACGTGCACTTTGAGGGTGTTAAGTTTAACTACCCCTCCCGCCCTGAGGTGCCCATCCTCCAAGGGCTGAACTTGAAGGTGAGCAAGGGAGAGACTCTGGCGTTGGTGGGGAGCAGCGGCTGCGGAAAGAGCACCACCATCCAGCTGCTGGAGCGCTTCTACGACCCCAGAGAGGGGAGAGTGGTGAGCAGCTACACCCACGCTCTGTGTACACTAACACGTGCCTCTTCACCTACTGTCATCTAGCTAATGGTTAGCTCACCGGTGTGTTTATGGCTGCTTTACAGCACTGTACTCGGAGACAGGGACCTAGAGACTGTGTGAGGCCTGTGTAGCGTGTGTGTTTATCTTTACAGCACTGACCAGTTCATTTTATCATGATGGGATTGCTGGTTTTGCTGACAGTCGTCTGAGAGTGTAAAGAGTATTTATTGCTATCTCCTGGTCTCTCACGTTATGACAAGGTCACTATTTTAAAGGTCCTCACAGTTCACATTTGACGTTTGATATTTTTTTCAAACATGTAAAAAAAAAAAAAAAAA